AGTCAACTATTATTCTCCATCTCCACTGTTTAAAAAAATGTTTAAGGTAGTGTGGTCGAGCAAACTCACCATAAGTGGGAATGACTTTGTTTTCCTAATTTTTTTTTCAGTAAGAAAATAACAAGGGCTTTATTTCTTTCTGTTTGCTTACAAAGATACCCCTGCTTGGGGGGTAAGTGAAACGAGTGTGTATAGATCTCATGAGTAAACATGGCGTTATTGGCATCAGGCTGCATACCACAACACCAGTGAAGTGGCAGGGAGGGAGAAGGGGATAATGCTCTCTTCTCACAGTAATAAAATAGAAAACACAAGTTAAACGAGCTTAGTTAATGCTAGGAATTCCCACAGGGAAAAGGCAAGACCCGAAGTCCCTCAGCAGTAGATTTCCACCAGGCTGAGGCACACGCTCCTGTCCCCTCTGTGCTCCGGCCCCATAGAGGTCTACCAGTCTACCCCGGGAACAGGGCCGCCTCAGGTCTCGCTCTGGAGTCGGCTGAGGTAAGAAGCGGCCGGGTCTTGGAAGCCCAGCTCACCTGGCTGGTGAGGCACCCTAAGTGCAGCAGTGCCGCATGTGGAAGTTGACGACATACTCGGCATTAGTCCTCTGCACAGAAATGGCAAACGGCTCAAAAGGGTGGAAAGTGAAGGCTACGAGGCGTCGCACTGTGTGGTTGATGGGGCGGCCCAGCAAGCCGGCCTGGATCTCAAACTTAAGCAGCCCGGAGTCCCGGGCGTAGAACCTGATGGGGTGATCTCCACAGGTCTTGGTCCGCTCCGTGACTGACACCCACTTGTCATCATAGCTGAAGAGAGACAAATCAAGGTAGGGGCTTCCACTGTAGGACTGGGCACTGATAGGAAGCTGCCCCAGAAGCCGGCGGACAGCTTTCGTGTGCCCACCATAATTAGCATTGATAAGTGCATTTGAACCGGCGCTGGATTTGCCTTGCAAAAATTGTTGCTGGAAGCTGAGCAAAGAAACTGGACTTCACTGTGCAGGGTAGCATTTCGGAAGAGGTCACAGAAGTTCTCAAAGAGCTCCAAAAGCTCATCCGACGTATTCTCAAATACAGCGATCGCCTCTGTTGTCACCATATTGTATACGACAAAGAAAGACGCCTGTGACGGATCTGTGACGCGTAGCGTTACAACGTCCTCACTAGTATACTTGATAAACAGGTGATTTTCATCCAAAAGCTGCATTTTCCACATGCGCAGCTGCCGCAGCTGGTCAAAGTACTGGAAGAAGCGCCTCTTGGCCATCGCGCTCCCGTCCTGCTCCGCCCGGCGCCACAAGTACACCAGCAGCCGGTGTTTGAGGGAGTTGATGAAAGGGTCCCTGAAGGGGTTGGCCATGCCCGTCTGGCTGTCCCGCTGCACCTCGGGGAACACGGCCGACACAGTGAGCAGGTCATCCTCGTAGCAGAAGCGCCAATGGTGCGCACATCGATGAGCGTGCCCTCCGGCGTCACCTGGAAGACATGGATGGTCTGCTGCTGCACCGACAAGATGGCCAGGATGTTCTTGTACAAGTACAGCCCCTGGTTGTGCGACAGGACCACCTTATCACACTTGAACGTGCGAGTGTCACACAAGCGGCCGGTGTGCAGGTCGATGATGTGGAGGGAATAGTCCTCCAGGGGGGACCTCGGGTTGGGGGTCACCGATTCACTGTTCCGGTACACCTCGTGGAAAGGGGGGTGCGGTTCGTCTGGGAGGTAGGCTGCCGAGCCCACGATGACACAGCGGCATCGTCGGTGAAGAGGCTGCACTCCCGGTTCAGGTGCTCGCCGTTGGCCGCCACGTTGGTGATGTGCAGCAGGACGAAAAAGCGTTCGAACAGCCGGCCGCGGATGTTACCTGACCGCTGGTCGTTGCCGTTGGACAGGATCTCCCCCTCACAGCCCTGCAGAAGGTCCTCTGCGGCCTGGCAGCCCTGGTACTCGTAGATTTCCAGAGAAGTCTGGTCGGAAGAGAAAGCAATAAAGAAGCGGCCGTCGGGCGAGAACTTGCGGAGGAAGCAGGGTGGCTTCTCAACGTTGACCACGGTGAAGTTGGGGAAGACGTTCTGGTGGAACACGCGGACCTGGTGCCAGTGCGTGCCTGCCCTGCCCGAGCTGATCCGCCGCCGCTCCAGGCGGTGGATGACATTCTGGTTTTGGATTCTTCGAGGTTTGATAGTGGACACATGATGATCCATCATCACAGCTCTGTAAGGTCCCGACTCAAAGGGCCGGGGCGAGGGGTCCCCGGGTGGCCTCGGTGCGCGCCTCCCCCGGCCCCGCCCCCGCCATGCTGCTGGACCCCGGCTGGGCGTCGAAGCTGTTTTCCTATTTTTAATTCACTAAAGACACCAAAGAGCTCTTCAGATCAGCGTGAGATACCAGCACTGCAAACCTAGAAGGCTGCCAAGCCAAAAGCCAAGGCCCTGGGTTTTGTTTCTGCCTCGTTAGGTGATTTGAGATATTAATACTTAATAAATGTCATACCAAGTTCATGGACTCTAGGCTGGGAACCACTGCTGCAGGGGGTAAAATAGAAGTGAAACACACTGACCTTGGCCTTGAGAAACAAGAAAAGCCGCAAGTAAACATATCTTTGCAGAACAATTAACTTTGTAAACAATCCATAACCCTTGGCTAGGGATGTTCTAACAATGTATACAAATTAGACCGTACAGGAAGTTACAACTAATGTATATTTTTTAAAACTTAACAAAACTAACCCTGCCCACAAACTTGTTGCCATGTAAGCAATTCTAAAAGCAGAATTGGCTTTCATTGCTGTAATCTTTATGGAAGTACACTGCCGCATTGTTCTGTGGAGCAGCAGGTGGACTTGAACTGCTGATCTTTGGGTTAGCAACACAGGTAACCACTATGCCATCGGGGCTCTGTGGAAGGCATGAAATCTGCTAAACAGCAGAGACACCAAACAGACAGATGTCGAATAAATGAGCAGTGACCCACATTGTTTAAGAGTGCAGACAAGACTTTGCACATCCGGTCAACATGTCCCATGGCCAAAGTCAACTGAAAAAAGCAGGAAATTGTTTCTCCTGCAGACATGGAACCGAGGAACTGTGGGTGACAAGGCTGGCAGGAAGCTTGGAGAGAAGCTGCTCCGAGATGGTCTCTGATCTGTCGGAACTGAGTCATTGTCTATGCACCCTGACAAGGCTTCTCCATCTTTGAACCCTCATTGAGCCAAATGCTGGTTTCCTTCTCTGCATGGTTTCCAAGGTTAATGTACTTGGCTGCTAGTAACTGAAAGGCTGGAAGTTCAAGTCCTCCCAGAGGTGCCTAGGAGGAAAGGTCTGATGATCTACTTCAGAAAAATCAGTCACTGAAGAACCCCTGGTACATGTGAGGTGACCACAGGTTGGAGTCAACTGGACAACAACTGGCTTGGCATGTGATTGGAATGCCAGAAGTCTTGGAACAGGGATCCTGAGGACTGTGAGGGGCAAGGGTTGGATGGCGGAGCCTGGGCCCTTGAGGACACGGATGGACGTGGGGAGGTGTGGGAACATTCTCAATGGGAGACCAGGTTAAGCAAAAATACAGAGGAAGAGAATCACTTGTGCTTTTGAGCCAGCTAATGAGCCTAAGGCACAGTGGTTAAGAGCTTAGCTGATGATAGGTCAGTAGTTCATAGGTGTCGTTTGGCCTGCGAGAGGAACATGGGGCTGTCTGCCTGGAAATTCTATGTGACAGCTCTGCTCTGTCTACAGGCTCATTACGAGTCAGAGTCAAGTCTGTGGCAGTGGGTTCTTTTGGCCAAGTATGCAGAGTCAAGTCAACACCAACTCATAGCAACTCCGTGTATGAGAGGTTGAGACCTTGCTGGAACCTGTGCCATCTTCACACACTCTGCCAATCATTGCAGTCCTGTGTCAGCCCACGTCAGTGCGGGTCTTCCCGTCCTTCCCGGACTCTCAGCCTTTGCCAGCGTGATGTCCAGAGTGAATGGCAAGCTTACCCATTACACTGATTTATTTCCACCTCCACATCCACAGAGATCCTAAACCTCACCTAGCATGTTCACCTTTAATTCTATAAATTCTTGACTTTTTTCTTTAAATTTTTTTATTTATTTCTTTTATGTGTGTACCGTCAAATCAGATCTGACTGGTACGGAGGCGATTTTTCCTCCCTCTTCAGCAGAGCATCTGGTGAATTTGAACCGCACACCTCTGGGATTGCAGTGCAGTTTCCTGCCACTAGGCCACCAGAGCTCGCTGACTTTTTTCTAATACTTCATGTATATATGCCACCCACTGAGACACTAGAAATACCTTGATCTTTTTTCTATTACATTTTTCCCCCCCTTAAGGACAAAACCTGGGAGAATTGTTCTCAATCTGGAAATATTGAAAGAATTAGAATAATGGTGTGGTCCAATCAGAGGAGGGGTTGAAGAAGAAAGATCTAGAAGCATTGAGTAATATGGATAGGAGGAAGTTAGAACTAGAGGTTGAGAGAGCTAGGTGAGACTAGAAGTTGGGGAAGGGTAGTATAATGTCATAAGACAAGAAACACAATCCTTTTGGTGACACAAAATGCCCCTGATGCCCAGTAAGGGTATTTCCCGGCACCATGCTGGCTTCTAATGCCAGAACAGAAGTTCTTGTTAGATGTCATCAAGCTATGACTCATAGCAGTGGCCCGTGAGCAACAGGTCAGACCTTGTCCTGTCCTGAGTCACCTCACAATCTCCTCCACGTTGACGCCCCCTCTCACAGTCACTGTGTCAGTCCGTCCTGTTGAGGGTCTTCCTCTCTTTAGCAGTCTGTCTTTTCCAGAATGACGTCTTTTTCCCAGAATTGGTTCCTCCTGTTAACATACGTCAAGTATGTGAGGTGAAGTTTCACCATCCTTTCTCCAAGGGAGACCAGTTGTATTTCCTTCGAAACAAATGTGTCTTTTTTTTTTACATATCCAAAATTGTGTTTATGGAGATAATGTCCCATTCATCTTGATCCAGTGTGGTTTCTTTTAATGCTGCTTCTGTTTGAAAGAGCATCCTTCTGGAAGCTTCGCTTTACCTCCTGCAGGCTGACAGAGAAGAGTGGAGCAGCCAACACACAGAACTCCTGTTGTGCACGGCTCAAGACTGGTGATTTTATAGCATCTTGGGCATTTCACATCTGCGAAATAGGGATTTGGACTCTGCACCAGCCACGTTTCCTCTTCTCCTTTTCTGGAAAGCGGATGAAGGAGATCCTTTGTGAGAGGCATGTGGGCATGTGGAGGTCACTGCCAGAAAGGCTGTTTGTTCTTTTAGCAGTCTGTCTACAGAAATTACTGTCGACACATAAACCTTTCCTGAGTCCCTACTGTAGAATCTCAAGGCTTTGTTTTAAATTTTTGTTTTCATTCACTCACTCTTACACATTTGAGCCCCAGCTCCCAACCTAATGGATGAGAACCTGGATTTTAACCACATCCTCAGTGGATTCCAGTGCCCGTGCAAAGTGTGATGCGCTGTGCTGCTGGATAAAAATCCTTCCTGGGACAGGGCCAAAAGGAAAAGGAAAAAGCCACTGCGGTCGAGTCAAGCCCTATTCAGACCAAACTTCAGGCAGTTTTGTGAAGCTGTAAATCTCGACAGGAGAAAATGGACCACTTTCTTTTCTCTCATGGACTGATTAACAGATTTGAACCTCTAACCTTTCTGGTTATTTGTTTGTTTGTTTGCTCGTATTTTGAGAGCAAGAAAAAGAAACAGGTTTATTAGATGTTCGTAACAGACTATGAACAGGTCAGGACAGACTGACTGAACCTAGAACCTTTCTATTAACAGTCCAACACACTACAGTGCACATTATCGAATCCTCTTACTGTTTCACTATCAGGGGAACTGTCCAAAAGGAAACACAAGTAAGTATTAGCAAAGATGTAATTATCCAGTAGGCAGGATGCAAGTGGACACTGGCTGAGGGCCCTTCTCACATTCCCTTCCCCAGGTTTCAAGCAAAAGAAGGCAGCAGTGTAGACACCCTGAATCCAGCATCCTTGATGCTCTTCAGGATCCTGGAGGCTCATTCCTGTCCATCTGGGACTGGATGACTTTCTCTTGTGGGATTGTCCTGCATAGAGGATGTCTGGCTGCATCCTTGACTTCTACCCACCGGATGCCTGTTACACTGCCTCCCTGTCATAATGAAAAAAAGAAAACAACAAACAACTTCCAATCTACCTAGTTGCCATGGAATTAATTCCATGTTCTCCCAGCAGAACTGTGCTCCACAGCACCGTCCATAGCTAATGATTTGGAAATAGATCGCCAGAGCTTTCTTCCAAGTGTACTTCTGGGTGCATATCAGCCTCTAACCTTTGGTCATCTGTCAAGCACATTAACTGATACTGTCAAAATCACCCACGCTTGAGAACCGCTGGCTTAGGCAAAGAAGAGACTGTCATAAGGAAACAACCCCAAGGGAGATAGTAGGGAATGTCGGTCTGTCTGTCAGGAAGTGTTGAAGATCAGACAAAGCTGCCCATCTCAGGCTCCTTTGAGAAAACCAGCAAGGACATCTAAGGGTCCGCCCCAGCCCATGTCCAAGGTCAAGCTTTCTGTTGAAGACACTACAGAAGACAAGCAGCCCAGTCACCACACAATCAATCATGTCCACTACCCGCCATGCCAACCAGCCCTCAGCCCTCCACTTACTTAGTACCCTTTACCGATGAACCCACAGTGTGAGAGGAAGACTCTTCTGCCTTTGTGGGGGTGACATGCTTTCTAATCACATTTTTAAGGAAAAAATATTTAAAAGCTGGCTGGTTTATGATGATGGAACTCTGTTGGCTTTGTAGGTAAGTGAGTGGCACTGCCAACACTAAGGAACTCAGTTTAAATCTACTGCTTCTTGAGCCACCTCCTCCTGCAAGATGCACACTCTGAAAACCTACTGGAGGGTCAACTATGAGTCATCTTAGATTCGACGGCACGTAGCAGCAACAACAGTTGGTGATGGAATCACCAGAGTAAATCACCCAGTCCGTTCCCATAACGTGAGGCAAAAGCCAGAGCACACAGTGCACCCGGACACCTGCCTCCGAAGCAGGCAGGCTGGGTACCATCTGAGCAGCCTCAGAAGGTTAGGGCATTTCTGAGATCCCAGTATTGCCTCCAGGGTGAGCTAGATCTCACCTTCCTCTCAAAATTCATTGTCATCAAGTTGATTCTGATGACTCGTAACAGCCCTATGGAACAGAATACATACAGGTTACACTTCAATCCTTAGAAAACAAAAGTCCTCACAGCTGCATCAAGGAACACCACCACGATCAACAGAGAAAAGATTGAAGGTATCCTTAACTTCATGGAGCCACAATCAGCATCCATGGGCTCATCAGGCAGTCAGGGGGTTGTACAATTTGATGAGGGAAGAGGGACAAAGGAAATTCAAAGAATCTAGTATGAAAATTCACTTCTAGTGAATTTTCGTCAGAACAGAGCAGGGCAACACTGAATGGTTCAAAATTGGGAAGGGTGTACGCCAGGGATGTGTCCTATCTCCATACCTTTTCAACCTGTATGCAGAGCAGATTATCTGAGAGGCTGGGCTCTATGAGGAGATGTGTGGCGTTAGGACTGGTGGAAGATCTATCAACAATCTGCATTAAGCAGATGACACAACCCTGCTTGCTGAAATTGAGGAGGACCTCATGCACTTACTGCAGAGGGTCAAGGACGGCAGCCTTCAGTATGGACTGAGGCTCAATGTCCAGAAGACAAAGATTCTCACCACTGGACCAACTGGTAGCATCAGGATGGATGGCGAAGAGATTGAGATTGTTCACAGCTTCAGTTTGCTCGGCTCCACAGTCAACACTCTTGGCACCAGCAGCCAGGAAATAAAAAAACGTATTGCGATGGGAAAGTCTGCTGTTAGGGACCTCTCTAAAGTACTCAGGAGCAATGGTGTCTCTCTGGAGACGAAGGTGTGCCTGATACAGGACATAGTCTTTGCAGTCACTTGTTATGCATCAGAGAGCTGGACAATGACTAGGGAGGATAGAAGGAGAATTGATGCCTTTGAGCTGTGGTGCTGGAGAAGAGTATTGAATGTACCATGGACTGCTAGGAAAACAAACAGATTCATCCTAGAGAGGGTTAAACCAGGCTACTCCTTGGAGGCAAAGATTCTGGGGCTTCGTCTCACATACTTTGGACATGTTGTAAGGAGAGACAGGTCTTTGGAGAGGGACATCATGCTGGGTAGAATAGAGGGACAGCGCAGGAGGGGAAGACCCTCTATGAGGTGGATTGATTCAGTGACTGGGGTAATCGGGATGGGTGTGTCAGAAGCAATGCGATTGGCACAGGATAGAGCAGGGTTTAGGGCTGTTGTACATAGGGTCACTATGAGTCGCAAATGACTCGACGGCACATAACAGCAACAACAACAGTATGAAAAACTGTTTTTTGAATTTTATAAATAAACTAGTATAATAAAAAGAGAGAGAAAAATAGAAAAGAAATTTAAAAATGCATTGCATCAGACAAGTCTGCTGTCAAATACCTCTGTAAAATACTAAAGAACAAGATGCCAGTTTAAAGACCAACTCGCACCTGCCTCAAACTGTGGTATATTCAGTTGCTTCATATGCTTGTGAACGTTGGACGATAAATAAGGAAGGCTGAAGAATAGAAACCTTTGAACTGTGTTCTTGGTAAGAATACTGAATCCACCGTGATCTGCCAAAAGAACCAAGGAATCTCTTTAAACACTCTGCATTCAGTGTTCCTTAGAAGCAAAGGTGGTTAAGACTTTGTCTCTCATCAGTTATTGGAACTAAATATTATGCTTAGATAAGAAAGATGCAAATTAAAACTACAATGAGCATCTCACCCCAGTAACAGTGGCAAAGTTTAGCAGGGCAGCAAGCAATAAAAGTTTGTGAGGATGTGAAGAGGGGGGAACTCTCATACACCATTGGTGAGATTATAAAATGGTACAACCATTCTGGAAGGCAGTTTGGCATTTCCTAAAAAACCTAAACATAGAAACTCCATATACCCCTGCTATTCTAAGGCTAGGAATATACCTCAAGGAAATTAGAACTGAGATGCAAACAGAGATTTGTACACCAATGTTCATAGCACTGTTATTCACCATCATAAGAAGATGGCAACAGCCTAAATGTCCAATCACAACTGAATGGATTGAGAAATTGTGGTACATTCACACAATGCAGCACTTAGGAAAACTTAGTATTTTATTTTCAAAAAGTACTACATAGTGCTCGCTTCGGCAGCACATATACTAAAATTGGAACGATACAGAGAAGATTAGCAGGCCCCTGTGCAAGGATGACACGCAAATTCGTGAAGCGTTCCATATTTTTTTTGGATGATGAGAAGTGGAATATTGTGGATGTCAGCAAACTGGGTGGTACCTGTATTCACATCCAGAATGGAATGAATCTTCAAGCCTTAACTCAAGGGTTAGAGACGTTTGCAAAGTCCCAGGTTGGACCCTGAAGTCTGATTCTGTAGATGAGTCTCATTTGAGGTTTAAAAACCGGAAGCCATTTTCAAATGTATTTGTAAATTATTAAAGTGTATTTGTGTGTGAAGAAAAGACCCTAAAAAAAAAAGTACTACATAACATGGAATAGAGTGGAGAGCATTATGCTGAATGCACTAACTCAGTGTCCTAAGTACAAATACTGCATAAGACCATTATTGTAAAAATAGAGTAACTGGTAAAACACATATGGAGATCCAAGGAGGGAAGGGATGGAAACAGAGGGGTGAGGATGGGTTGGAGCAAAATCACAGAGTTGTACCATTTGGTGGATGGAGGCAGGGGGTAAAGGAAATGAGAAAGATCTGGTAGAGACCTGAAAAGACAGGTTTATAGTGGGCATAGTCCAATGGTGATTAATTTTATAAAACATAATAAATGTGAATGATTGTATGAAACACAATGTGAATGAAGAATAGTGTGAAGCACAATGTATATGAACTTTGTAAGCAACTCAATATAAAATTAAACATTTTTTAAAAATATTATGAATGGATAAAGACAAAGGTAAATAACCCAATAGAAAAATGGGCACAGGATATGAGCAGACACTTCACCAAAGAAGACACTCAGATGGCTAACAAGCACATGAAGAAATATTCAAAATCCCTAGTTCTAAGAGAGATGCAAATCCAAACAACTATGAGATATCATCTCACCCCAGTAAGAAGAGCAAAATTTAACAGCAAGCAACAAATG